CCCCCCCCCCCCCCCCCAGCTGAGGCACTCCTGGCCTCACTGTAGCTTGGCGCTCATTTCCAGGGGTAGTTGGTGGTGGCCGTAAGGTTTAGGTATGACAGCGTGCTCAGCTTGTCACTTACAAAAAGATGAGGGCAGAATCGAGGCGTGAGAGGAAAGGTGCAATGAGTAGTCACGTTCCCCAAGAACAAAAGGGATAAAGCCATGGCGGTTCTCCCAGTGTCCTGAGGAGCAGCCGGCAGGGAGTACTGTGTGTCAGAAGCGCCATCTCTTATCTGGGCAGGAAGTGGAAAATCTGAGTAGCTCGGGGACTCAGTCTTTTTCCCTTCGCTCCCTCCCCTCGTGTTCAGGATCTTCCCAGGCGTCTCAGGACTGTAGCTCCCAGTCGGTCACTCGCCTCCCTATGCCCTGAGCCTCCTTGGCTTGAGCAGAACTCTCTTCTCGGACCCCCGAGCCTCAGACTTCGAGCAGCGGCTCAGCCAGCACTGACTTGTGGTCTAGCAGCTCAGCCACATAGCGCATCACGATGGTGTTGTGATGGCCGGTATTGATGTGCACCTTCTTCCGAATGTCTTGAGTCACTTTCAGGGTTCGATTTCTCGTTCGGGCACATGCCCAGGTTGTGGGCTCAATCCTCAGTGGGGGGCGTGCAGGAGGCAGCCGATCCATGATTCTCTCTCTTCCTTGATGTTTCTCTACTTGTCCCTTCCTCTCTAAAATCAATAAAAATATATTTTAAGTAAAGACACCCTCTTGCATGCAAATACTAATAGGTTCAGTGGATAGGATGTTTTCAAGCAAGTCAACCTCTCCTGACTCCACTGGAATCAGAAGCTGAGTCCCGTATGTGGACTTGGGTGGAAATGGTCATGGGCACAGACACAGGAACAGCCAGGGGCAGAGCCTCCCGCACAGGCCTTCCGTGGCCGACTCTGGGGCGGGGGCAGCAGCGGAAGCACAGACCGAGCCCCTCGTCAGGGCCTCCAAGCGACTTAATTTAGGAGAAACCTGGCATTTCTGTTCGTGTTTCATTGTTGTCGTTTTTTTTTATTTTTTATTTTGACTTAGTTTTTGATCCTAAATCAAAACTCAACTGGCGATTTAGGGCCAGGTCACCTTGACGGGGAGGGAGGGCGAGTCTCCTTTCTCCACTTGTGTCGAGCCTCTGGGCAGCCAGCGCTCTCTCCGGCGGCCACAGTGACGCGGTTGGAGGGCTCGGTGGAGTCCTGCAGAGGAATCTGTTACGATGGGTTTTTGGATTTGGCCAGCGGTTCTGTTTTTGTTTGCTTTAAACAGATGTAAAATGATATCGAGATGATTGTTGATTCATTTTCTGTTGTGTTAGCAGCTTCTGAGTACTTTTGTGGTAGGCTGTTGCTCTTGGTTAAAAAAATAAGCAAGTAGACCAGCTGCAATCTAAGTAGGAAACATAAGAGCTTAGGACACGCGTGATGGTTGGGTTTCACTTTGGGTTTGAAAGACAGGTCTCTACGCAGGCGTTTTCTAACATGTAGAGTAAAATACATATAATTGATTAAAGAAGTTCATTGTTTAGGGAAAAGGAAGATTTGAAAGAAGAGCCTAATAGAGTCAATTATTGTTCAGAGAGGGAGCATTTTCATTTTGTTTTTCTTCTACTTAACCGAATGTTATTTATTGTCTCTTAAAAATACCAATAGAAACCATGGCTGGTTTGTTCAGTGGTTAGTGCATCAGCTACTGACTGAAGGGGCTCAGATTCGATTCCGGTCAAGGGCTCGTACCTTGGTTTGCAGGTTCAGTCCCCGGCCCTGGTTGGGGTGCATGTAGGAGGCAACCAATCAATGTGTCTCTCTCACATCAATGTTTCTCTCTCTCTGTCTCTCCCCTTCCCCCCCACTCTCCCTAAAAATCAAAGGAAAAAATATCCTTAGGTAAGGATCAGCAACAAAACAACAATACCAATGTAAGAATACAGATTGGAGTCTAGATATCTGAACTTGATGATCCTTAGCCACAATAAGCCAGAAAAAAAAAATGTTTCTGCATATTTCAGGCCCTCTCCTCATCTCGCTGGCATCTGTTTGATTCTTGTCTACGTGTTCTTATGAAAACTGCTGTGACAGGAGGCCCTCAGTAGGATGATTTGGCTGTTTTTGGTGGCTTTCCTCTTGTTCTGTGGTTATTACACCAGCTGCCGAGAACGCCTCACAGGCCGTTTTGTGTCTGAGCCTTGTCCATCCAGACCGGTCAGCGTCTCCCACGCCCCACAGTGGTTCACAGGACGGAGCGGAAAGGACTGTGGAGCACGTATTTCTCAGCCGCTCACATTTAAGTGGTTTGTGTTGTTTGTTTTGCTTTAGTTTGCTTGGTCGTGAGGTGTGAAATAATAGGAATAAGTTGCACCTTTCTGTCCTTAAGTAAACTACATCTTCTTTAAAAAAATAAATTTCTTTGACTTCAGAGAGGGAGAGAGAGAAAGAGATAGAAACATCAATGATGAGAGAGAATCATTATCAACCAGCCACCTCCTGCATGCCCCCTACTGGCGATAGAGCCCTCAACCAGGCCTGTGCCCTGACCAGGAATCGAACTGTGACCTCCGCAGGGGGTTCATGGATCGATCATGAACCATTGAGCCACACCGGCCGGACAAGTAACTATTTAACCTGTGACCTTAGGAAGCATCAGAGTTTTCCCCAGAATAATCAGGACTTGTTAGCATGTGTCCTGATGACCAGTGGCCTGGAGTCTGAGAAGCCCCTTCCTTCCGAGCTCTGACTGCGTGGAAGTGGAGCGGGTGAGCCCTCCCTCGGGGCAGCCCTGGAATGTTCATGGGTCTGGAACTCTAGTTCCGTGTGGCCTGGTCCCTCCCTTTCACCGTCCTAAAGCTGATCTTCTCAAGATGCTCTCACTAACGGGTGGTTTTATTTGTCTGCTGATAGAGAAGGCATGCACCGTGTATAATGTCACCAAAGACTGGAGTTGGTTGATGGCAGAGGTTAAAGAGGAGAAACAGCAGCAACAGATACGATGGTCGCTCCCAGTGGGTTTCCCTTTTCTTGCGTTTGATGCCGAGTCCCTTCGTGCGGCACAGAAATGGAAGTCGGGGTTGTTTGCGCTTTTAAGTTGAGAGGCGTCTAATTGGGTGGGCTCTGTTCCCAGCAGCCTCTGTGCCAAGACCTCTTGCAATAATTTTGAACAATGAGGGCGTATTGCTTACTGCTGTTAGGAAATCGCCTTTAACAATAAGAGGCCAGAAATCCTTTGCCTTCCCTAGCAGCGTGGTATGGTTGGTGGCAGCGAGCTCGGAAAGGGGATCGATTGGTCTCTGATCCCTGTGTTCTTGGTAAACGTCTGTTTTCCAAAACAGAGAATAAGGTTTTAGCTCATGGCTTTGGCTGATACGAGTGGGGTGAGGTTCCTCAGTCACCCACGCACACCCCTGACCCCGCGGCTGTGCGGAGCCCAGCACAGCGTGGAAACGAGCTGAGTGGCTGTCCAGTCGGCACTTGAGTGTGTGAAGCAGACGTCCATGCTGCGTGTTTATCATTAAGACGTGTCGGTGTGGGGACACGCCTCCAAAAAGGGACTTCGTGTGAAAAGTTGTTTACTGGAAGCACATTGTAAACATTATTTCTGCTTTTATGAGTCACCAGCTGATGTTGTCTTTTAAATCTCAAACATGAGTGTGGCTGAAGTCTGTTTAAGTGTTCGCACCACGCCCTCAGCAGGTGACGTCATTCTCCGCAGGACGATGGGCCTCGTCGGGAGGAGGGACATGCAGCTGGGCTGCAAGGCCTGCTCACAGTGTGCTAGTTGGTCAGTTTTTGTTTGTTTGTTTAATTTCCCCCGCCCCCATTTGTTTTTAGAGAGAGAGGAAGGGAGAGGGATACAGAGATGGAAACATCCATGAATCGATGACAGAGAAACGTGAGGAGACACTGTAGAGGAAGGAATGCGAGAAGGCCTTTGGGTCTGGGATTCTGGCAGTCTCACCCCCCACCCCCCACCCCCGTCCCATCCATATGTACCAGCTAAGAGAACATCTCGGCCCGTAGTTAGGGAGTTGAGATGGGTAGGAGCTGTGTAGTTTTGAATCTGTGTGAAGCGTTGCTTAGTGGATGCCATCTGGTTCCTATTCTCAGGGAGTCTGTTCCCTGGAGAGGCAGTTGTCCCCACAGAGGGACGTTTTATTTGTTTTGACTTCACCTCTGGCCTCTGGCACAGTTCTGGTCTCTTACGTCATGGCAGCAGTGAGCACGGATGACCCCTCTGAGGCTCAGATGGCTGGGATTTTATGCCAGTGGCCCTGTTAGGCCAAGAGAGTGACAAGAATTGAGATGCCCTGGCTGGCCGCCCAGTGGTTAGAGCACCGGCCCTGGTCCGACGAGTTCCAGATTTGACTCCGGTCAAGGGCACGAACCTGGGTTGGGGGTTGCCCAGCCTGGCAGGCCGCTGATTGATGTGGCTCTCTCACATCCATGTTTCCTCTCTTTTCCTACCCCTCCCCTCCACTCTCTCTCAAATCAGTGGGCAGAGTATCCTCCACTGAGGACTAAAAAGCAACAAGCAAGCAAAAGAGTGGAAATGAAATTGTGTCCTTGGCAAACTGGTGCCCGCTCCATCTGTCGGGGAGGCTCCTCTTTTTCCTGAGTCAGGGCTCCCAGAGGGGCTTCGGGGCTCTCCTCGCCTGTCTTCTGTGGCTCTTGACTCGGGGTGGGTCCCAGGTAAAAGGACAGACGGGTTTTCAGCTTCGCACGCTGCCTCTGACAGTCACGCCCGTGTCCAGCCCCTCTGACGGGGCCTTTATTTATGCATTTCCTCGTGACTCAGGGTGACATATTGAGGCAGGCACTCTTCGTTTTAGTTCTGGGAGCCTTTCAGCTTCCTGCCTGAGATCCCAGACTTCGAGTCTTTGTTAATCAGAAACCACATCTGCTCTTGCTTCTCTCCTCCTCCGGGTGACATCACACGCCCGGCTGGGAGAAGGCCCGGGGTCTGCGCTCCGACACTCTGCGTCCCCCGTGTGAGCGCTGCACACGGGCGCTCGGGGCTGCTGGGCCCGGGTCAGAACCTGGGATCGGCTTGTGTGTGAATGTCACCTTGCGGGTTTTCTTGCTTCCTTTTCAGATTGCAGTGCTTTCGTCCACAAAGGCTGTCGAGAAAGTCTGGCCTCCTGTGCGAAGGTCAAAATGAAGGTAAGACGTTTCTGCCAGAGCCAGTCCAGTCTGGGCTGGGGGAGTGGAGGTGGTGTGGGTTTTGTCTCTTTTCGTCATTTGGTCCCAACTTCGAGACCAAAATAACCCCCCAAATAAATTCTTTCCTCTTAAGTAATTTACTCTCTTTCCAGTGAACATACTTGGGAATTTGTGGCCTTTGGAAAATGCAGTGTTTTCAGAACTTGTTCACGCTAGATACACATTTCTCTGAGGTTCTCGTGTGTCGCTTTTGGAGTGATGTTCTTAGCTACGACTGCAGACCTACTCTGCGGTTCACTTACGGCTTCCTCAGGCAGGACCCCGGGGGAGCAGGCAGGGGGCGGGGGCTCTGCCGTGCTCGGGCGGGGTGTTAGGGTTGGATGCGTGTCTGGCAGCCCCTTTCTCACGGGGCGTGGGGACGGTCCCTGCCTGAGCATGCGTGCTGGTCACAGCGGGTGGTGATGTGCACTGCTTCTCAGGCGGCCCGGAGGAGAAGAGCGTGGTTTGGGGGCATAGCCTTTAGGTGCCCGCTGTGTAGTCACCCACAGCCTCTCCAGCTGCGTCCGCCCACGTGCTCGGGGTGCCGTGTGAGTCATCGATAACCAGGCCCGTTTACCCAGCGCCCTGGCCCCAGACTCGAATGTACAGCAGACTCACCCGGGGGCTTGTTAGAAGTCAGCCGCCCGGGCGCACCTTCTGAGATTCAGAGTCCGGGCCAGGCCGGGGAGGTGTGTTTCTAGCGAGTCCCCAGCTGGTGCTGCTGGTCTGAGGACCGCGCCTGCGGAAGCAGTGAGCCCGTGTGGGTGACAGACTGGACCCCGGGTCTCAGGTAGCGGGATCCCGAGGGGGTGCCCGTGGCCGCCGTGGGTGAGAAGAAAGCGCTGATGGGTCATTCGCCGCGGAGGGGATGCTCGGGTGGCCGTGAGGCAGAAGAGTGCCATCCTGGGAAGGAAGCGGCTCCTGCCAGGCAGAAAGGAGCAGCCTTTGTGGAATCAGAGCGAGTGGCCGGCTGGGGGGAGGCAGCCGGGGACTGGCTGGGACTAGGGTGCTGAGGACATCGCCGAGGACCCAGCGGGGAGGGAGCAGCACCTGGCTGTCTTTCTGCTTTGGCGTCTTGACACGTGACAGAGGTGAAGAGTAGATGCCACCTCCACGTGTGACTTTCTCTCCTTTCAGCAGCCGAAAGGGAGCCTTCAGGCGCACGACACGTCATCCCTGCCCACAGTCATCATGAGGAACAAGCGTAAGTACCCAGCCCACCTCTTCGGTTCTTCCTGACTCTTGTTCAAGGCCTAACCATGCTTATGTCTGCTCACTGGCTACCAATCAGGATGTGAGTATCTATCTTGTGTTAAGTTAGAGAAGGCTGCAGGCTTATTGACCAAAAGCTTAGCATGTTATCAGTCTCTCTTGGAAGGTTTCTAGTTAGTGTAGTGGCTCCAAAGGCAGCACCATGCCCCGGCCGGTGGCTCGGTTGGTTGGAGCACCATCCCGTACGCCAGAAGGTTGCGAGTTCAATCCCCGGTCGGGGTGCGTGCGGGAGGCAGCTGGTCGATGTTTCTTTCTCACATTGATATTTCTCTCCCTTCCTCTCTGTCCAAAAAATCAAAAACGTCTCCTGAGTCAGAAGCGATCTTGCTTATTAAACGTCTTGATAAACTAGGAAGTGCGTTTATCTTTTTCAAAGGCTTCAAGTGGTCCACGAACAATGGAAGTCATACTCTCCATTCACATCAGACTGTGTTCACCAGTCTGCACAAGGCTTCACTTTGGTTTTACTTAATATAGTTCCCTTTTTTATTACTAATTATTTACTTTTCAATTACAGTTGACATACAGTATTTTTACAGTTCCCATTTTCATTCTCCATCTCCTTTCTCGTTCCTTACCCTCCTGGGTGCCGACTGTAGTGTGTCCAATGTGCGTCTTCTAATCTGTCATGTCTTTAGACATGGAGATCTCTGAAAATATCCATTCTGCTTTCCCCCCACTCGCTACCCTCCTGAGATAACATGTAAGCTGTTGTTAAGACTGCTGCATGGTGCTCTCTTATAAACATGCACCCCGTTTTAGTTACCAGTTCCCCCCAAGACATACACCTGAGCTGTTTCCAACTACCCCCATAAAAATAACACGGTAATGAATGCCTTCTTAATTGGCTCGATGGGAGCCTGTGTGTGACTTACCCCTAAGGCAGTATTTTTCAAGTGTAGTTTCTGGATTAATTAGAAGTGCAGATTCTTGGATCCTACCCAGACCTACTGAGTCAGAAATTCCAGAGGGTTAGCCCAGTGATCTGTGCGTTTTTTAAAAAAAATAAACATATATTTCAGAGAGGAAGCAGGAGAGAGAGAGAGAGAGAGAGAGAGAGAGAGAGAGAGAGAGAGAGAGAGAGAAAGACACAAAGAAACATCAGTGATGAGAGAAAATCATTGACGGGCTGCCTCCTGCACAGCCCCCACTGGAGATCAAGCCCACAACCCAGGCGAGCCCTGACCGAGAATCCAACCAAGGACCTCCTGGTTCCTGGGTTGATACTTAAGCCCTGAGCCACACCGGCCGGGCCATAATGTATTAATTGGTCTTCTTTTGATATTCATTTGTATCATTTCCAATCTTTCGTTTTATCAATACCGTTGCATTGAATAACTTTGGACATGTGTCATTTCAAACACAAACAAGTATATCTTATGGGATAAACATGTCCTGGAATAGCATTACTAGATCAAAGTGTATAGGCGTATACAGTTTTAATAGAAATTGCCAAATTGTCCTCCCTGGGGTTTTCCACCCATTCACACTCCCAGGGCAAGTCGGCTGTAGAGCAGTGCGCTTCTCTGTGACTTTGTCAGAGGAGTCCGTCCTGGGGGGCGTGGAGCGGTGACGCTCAGCTGGTGTCTTCTCTCCCTCACAGCCTCGCAGCCCAAGGAGCGCCCTCGGTCCGCAGTCCTCCTGGCTGATGAAGCCACTGCCGCCCCCCTGTTCCCCAATAGACGGTCCCAGCAGAGCATGTCGCTGTCCAAAAGTGTCTCCATACAGAACATCGCTGGGTGAGTGGGGGTTCGAGGATGGCACAGTGACACTGGCATAGTCATATCATTTGACAAAAAGATCTTGATAAGGGGTTTGGAGTGCCCGGAGTGATTCCGATGAGAATGAGGATTACATTTGATCACTCACTGCTGTGGCTACAGTTTGTCACAAGGATCCCCTTTAAACACCCTCATCGGGCCAGGTTGTCCTACGCTTTTGTATATCATTACCCCGCTTCTAAAACCCTCAGTTCTGAAAGGGTGGTTTCTAATCAAAATAGGAAGTAGGAATAGGAAAAAGGGTGATTTCATTCTGAATTCTTAGTGCCAATCCCTTGTGTCATACACAAACATTCACTGGGTGCCTGCTGTGCTGGCTGGTGAGTTGGGGTCAAGAGAGCACAAGAATAACCAATGTCACCCCAATAAATTTAATAAAAAATATTTAAAATTTTTTAAAAGAATCCAGTTTATTATAAGTGCTCAGCCTGTAATTGGGGGACAGGAGGGAAATGCAGTGGTTAGACCGTGAGTGTCAGACAGAGAAGTTTCTTCTATAATGTGTATACAGTTTGGGGGCAGAGCAATCTTCTTATCTATCACTTTAATAAAACCCAAGGCTCATAGTTCAGGTTTGCAGTGACACTATGTGCTTTAACTACGATGAGTAGTTCTTGCTCCTGGGTTCCCAGCATAAGCCTGTGTCTGGGTCACGCGGTCTGTGGGCGGCTGTCGCTGATTGTCCGGGTCCTCAGTGGACAGCGCAAACCGTGCCTCATCCCCGTGTGTGACGCGCTGCTCTCTGTCCCCAGAGTTGGCAACGACGAGAACATATCGAACACCTGGAAGTTCCTGTCGCACTCCACAGACTCGCTGAATAAAATCGTCAAGGTCAACGAGTCCACAGAATCCCTTACTGACGAGGGTAAGAGGAAGTTGTAGCCTACACTTCGTTTTCTGTAGCGACTGTGCCGCTGCCTCACCCAGAATAGAGGCGTGTGTGGAATCTAGTGCCTGCCTCTTCCTTACTCCTGTGAAGATTGCCTAAATTGTCCATAAAACATCCAGTGCTTGGTGATAAATTGGTAATCACACCTACCCCCTTGTTAGATAGTTGTCCATTGAAAGATGTCCTTGCTTTTAATACTGTCATATTCTAGTACAGACGCTTTCTCTCCGCCCCGCCCCCAGACTTTAAGTTCTAGCTCTCTTGGCTCAGTGTAAGCCTACTGTCCTAAACAAGCGAGGTTCCCAGGTCCCATCCAATTCCTGCTTCACGTAGGAATCATGTCTTCATGGCATTTGATGTGTGTGATGCTCACCTCTCTAGCAGCAAAGCCTCGGCAAGAGCGTGTCGCTCCCAAACAGGCAGAGAGCCCCTTCTCTACTGGAGGGTGGTTCTGTGAACACCCCAGGATCCGTGCAGAGTGTCCGCGTCCTAGGAAGTGGTCACACCCAGGGAAGTCCACGCGGGCTTCCGAGAGGTCCCAGACCAGGGTTGTGATGCTGGCTCGTTGCTGTTTTGAGGAGTAGGTACAGACATGAATGAAGGACAGCTGATGGGCGACTTCGAGAGTGAGTCCAAGCAGCTGGAGGCGGAGTCCTGGAGCCGCGTGGTGGACAGCAAGTTTCTGAAGCAGCAGAAGAAGGATGCGGTCAAGCGGCAGGAGGTGATCTATGGTGAGACCCTGCCCTTCTCTGCTGGCTCTGCATGGGCGTGGGGTCCAGAGGGCACTGTGGGCCATTCCCTGGGCTGTGGAGAGTCAGTGTTCATCTGTGTAGCATCTCAAAGATTTTCCTTTACAACTTTGAGGTATAGAGACGTGCTCTTACTTCTCTCTATCCCTTTTCCTCTCTTTACAATTGCTTCCCTAATTGTATTGGCCATTTTATTTCCTATGAGTGCTTATTTATGCCACAGGCCAAACAAGAAGTCTCTTGTTTACTGCCTCCACCGCACTAGGGACAGTCACTATTTCCTGTTTCTAGGAAATAGGAACACGGTACATTATGAAAGGTTTCAATTCCAGTGAAGACATGGGGAAACCGCCAGGGTGATGCGGCCCAGCACCTGTGGTGGGTCCCAGGGGGCGGGAGGCTGAGGAGGAAAACGCTGTAGGGAAGGCAGCTGCTGACCCAGGCTTATCACTTAAAGTGGCTCTGAGTAGCCTGGGACTCCGGGGGCTGCTGGCAGCAGCAGGGGCGCCGGGAGGAGGGCCCTGACCACTGAGCGTTGTCCCGGCAGAGCTGATGCAGACGGAGCTGCACCACATCCGCACGCTCAAGATCATGAGCGACGTGTACAGCCGGGGCATGATGACCGAGCTGCTCTTCGAGCAGCAGACGGTGGAGAGGCTGTTCCCCTGCTTGGACGAGCTGATCAGCATCCACAGCCAGTTCTTCCAGAGGATCCTGGAGCGGAAGAAGGAGTCCCTGGTGGAGAAGAGCGAGAGGAACTTCCTCATCAGGAGGATTGGCGACGTGCTTGTGACCCAGGTGAGGGTGGCGGCTGGGGCTCGGCAGCCGGCACGGCATCTCGGCTGCAGCGTCCGTTCGCTTTGTGCTCAGGCAAAGGGCTTCTCCCTCCGAGCCTCAGTTTCCTTTTCTGTAACGAGGGCAGTAGCTTTTCTCTTCTAATTCCATTCTCTTAAAAAATAATTTTTTTTTCATTGATTTCAGAGAGAGGCAGGGAGAGGGAAAGGGAGGTAGAAACATCAGTGATGAGAGAGAATCATGGATCAGCTGCCTCCTGCACACCCCCTACCAGGCATGGAGCCCACAACCAGGGCAGGTGCCCTCTGAGAATCGAACCTTGACCTCCTGGTCCATAGGTCGATACTCAACCACTGAGCCACGCCAACTAGGCTGTGATTGGCTCTTTTCGTTTAGAATAATGCTTTCAAGGTTCATCAATGTTGTAGCATGCATGAAGTCAGTATTTCTTTTCCTTTTGTGGCTGAGTAATATTCATGTATGTCACAATTTATGTATACATTTATCCTTGGATGGGTTATTTCCACTTTGGGGCTATTTGAATAATGAACATAGGTATGCAAGTTTTTGTGCGGATACATTTTTTAAATACATGTTTTTATTGATTTTTAGATAGAGAGGAAGGGAGAGGAAGAGATAGACACATGGAAGAGAGAAACACATCTCTCAGCTGCCTCCTGCACGCCCCCTTCTGGGGATCGGGCCCGCCATCCGGGCCTGTGCCCTGACTGCAGTCGAGCCCGGGGACCTCTTGGTGCCTGGGGCAGTGCTCAGGAGCCACACCAGCGGGGCTGGGCACATGGTTTATGTCTAGGAGTGAACTGGCTGGGTTATTTAACTTCTGGAGGAACTGCCAGACTGTTAGCCAAAGCCGCTGCACCATTTTAATCCTTTGGGGCAGTTTATGAGGAAGTACCTTGGGTCCTACAAACATGCAGCTGTGTACAAAATGGTGCTACAGATTTAGCGCCTGAGTTGCGGCCTGACTTCCGCTCTCTTCTGTGCAGTTTTCCGGGGAGAACGCTGAGCGCCTGAAGAAGACGTACGGCAAGTTCTGTGGGCAGCACAACCAGTCGGTGAACTACTTCAAAGACCTTTACACCAAGGACAAGCGTTTTCAGGCCTTCGTGAAGGTAGTGACGTGCAGCGTGAGCACCCACCGTGGTCCCTAGCGCCCTGTCGCTCAGGGTGAGCAGCGCCTCCGCTGGGCGGGTCCTGACACTCCCGTTCCCTTGCAGAAGAAGATGAGCAGCGCGGTCGTGAGGCGGCTGGGCATTCCCGAGTGCATATTGCTGGTCACGCAGCGCATCACCAAGTACCCCGTGCTGTTCCAGCGGATCCTGCAGTGCACCAAAGGTGAGCACCCTGGCCTCACCCGCCAGCCCAGGGAGCCGCTGAGGAACGCGTTCCTGCTTTACGGGCCTAAAGGGATCCTGGGTCTTTATCTTCAAAACCGCGGTGTTTTAGTAAAAACGTGAAACATTCGCCCTGGCCAGTGTGGCTCCACGGCTAGAGGGTTGGCCCATGGACTGAAGCGTCCCAGGTTCGATTCTGGTCAAGGGCATGTACCTCAGTTGCAGGCTCAATCCCTGACCCTGGTAGGGCACATGTGGAGGCAACCAATCAATGTGTCTCTCTCACATAGATGTTTCTCTCTCTGTCTCTCCCCCTCCCTTCCACTCCCTAAAATTCAATGGGAAGATACCCTCGGGTGAGGGTTAGCAAACACACGCCTGAACGTTATGTCAGCAGACTGAGACTGGATCATAGTAAGAAGGGAAGGAACCCCTTAGTGATCCCGTCAATCGTTCAGTGACCTGGGCACTTCCTCCCTCCCTTTCCGCCGTCTGTCTGTCCGTCTGTCTGTCCGTCTCTCTCTCTGGAGCATGCAGGCACCTTTCTTTCCTCTTTCTCCTCTCAAGGCTCGTATCCCTCCCCCCGTACCCTAACCCCCAAGTTCCAAGTGCCCTTCTGGTGCCTCTGTAACTTGTTTCCTTGAGCCATGTCTTCTACGGCTCACTTCTACCTCCGTAACTTCCTAAGTAAACTTT